ATTAGCATTATTGTGATAGGTTGAGCATGCCTTCGACTTCACGAGTCAAGTCATACATCCCATTGACATGTCCCTTTTGAACAAAATATTCTGGGGTATATGAATTAGTCTCAATATTGTTCCCTTAGACCAACTTCAATGGTGAGCTAAAAGTTAAATTACCCCCTAAAATTTCCCCCCAAACCCACTCCAACCCAAGGGGAAAATTGGGGCTAAATGCTAAATGCTAAACCAAGGTCAAATTCCCCCTAAAATTTAGCCTAGAAATCAGAGCGGACTCCACCCAATATTTATCGGAATTTAATTTTTTTTTAGATTAAAATGTTTATAAAATTAATTTACGATAGTCTACATATTTATTTATTTTTTAAATTTAATTTAACTAAAAAAAATAGCTTAAGTTCATTCTTTAATAATCTCGGGCTAAAATTTTAAGCTAGAACAGTTGAAGCAGAAAAGTTGTTTCTAGACTAAAAACTAAATTTTTCGGGCTAAAATATTTGACTTTTAGCCCAACCATTAGAGATGATCTTAGATATATATATATATTTTTTTTGGATCAAGAATAACAATTGTATTGATAAGGAAAATACAAAAAGAGACAAAAGGGTGAGGGCACAGACGTCCAAACTCGTATAAAATATAGAAAATAAAGGTGATTTGACCCCAAAAAAACAAAAAAACAAAGGTGATTTGACCCACATGAAAAAGAAAACAAATGTGACAGACAAGGACATGGACATAACCAAACAAATAAATAATGGGAGTGTGGCCCCGATAAACTTCACGCAGTTGAAAGCTTAACGGAAAAATTCAATTTTTTGATGGATCAGGATCCTCTCCTAATTTAAGGATGAGAATCTTCATGATTAAGGGATATGAATCGTTCGATGAAAATTCAACGATTACAAATAGAAAGTCTTTTTAAAGTTATAATAATTATAACCGTTAGATTTTCATCCAACAGTCCACATCACTTAATTATGAGGATCCTCATCCTTAGATTAGGAGAGGATCCTGATCCTTTTTTTATGGAATGGACTGACAGAATGAGACTTCCGTCAGGGGCATTGGCTAGGAAAAAGAAAAATTAGTGTTGCACGTGGACTTCTTTATTATTGATGAGGCTTTAGTTTTATTTTTACTAACCTCTTGTCTCACGCATAAGTGGCAATTGATATTTTTTTATTTTTTTATTTAAAAAAAAAGAAATGAATTAAAAATGTGAAACCACCCACTAACGTGGGAGGTTTTGTTTTTGTATTTTTTTTTCTACAATTTTAAATATTAAATTCATTCAAAATAAAAATATGATTAAATACTTTAGCTTCTTTTGGTTCATTTGTAATTTATGAAATTCTTAAAAGGCAATTTATGGTATTTTGAATGTTTCACCATTTTAGGATGCTCACTTTATATATATATATATATATATATATATATTATATTTTGTCATTTTTATTAAATTTCAAGTCTTTTATAATAAATAAGGATAAATCTCAATTTACTACCCTTAAATTTCGTAGTTTTCAACCTTTAGTACATGAAATTTTTTTCGTCCCAGAGTCATATCTAAAATGTTAATTTTGGGATAGTGTCATACATTCGTTAATCTAGTTGTTAAGTCTTCCGTTAACTGATGACATGACATCCATGTGGATAATGATTGGGCATCACATGTCAATAAAGGTCCCACGTGGATATTAAAAAAATTTTTTAAAAAAATTAAACATTAACAAAAATTTAAAAAAAAAAGTCTTCTTCATCAAACCCCCGACCCCCTCCCTTCTCACTCCCTTCTCTTCTATGCACCCACCCAACCTCTGCACATCCATCCTTCCCCCTCCCTCGTCGACTCCACCTACTCAACCCTCATCCTCTTCGACGACCCTGTGAGCTCGAATGAGCGGTGATCGGCTGTGCGCGGTGATACTCTCAGATCTCGAAGCTATGGAGGCGACGATACTCCCAAATCTCGAGGCGGAGATCTTGATTCCGCTGTGTACGGTGATCGGCATCGCCTTCTCCTTGGTCCAGTGGATGTACGTTTCGCATGTTAAGCTTTCCCCATGAGGCCCGAGTCGTCCTCAAAACTCAATAGGAGGCACGAGTCGCCCCTGCCAAGCGGGAAGTACTTCTCTGCGTCTTGCTTAGGAACTGGAGTTGGTCTAATTCGTTAGGGTCAACGGCGTCATGGTAGTTGAGGTTGAAATTGAGGGTGGCGGTGGGGGTATGGAAATGGATGGGGGGCATGGGGAAGACAAAGGGGTTCTGCACTTTTTTTTTTTTTTTTTCACTTTTATTTAATTAATTATTTTATTATTTTAATATTTTTGAATTTTTAATTTCCACGTGGATCTCTTAATAATACATGATCCTTAGTCATTGTCCACATGAGTGTCACATCATCAGTTAACGGGAGACTTAACATCCAGACTAACGGATGAGACTGTCCCAAAATTAACATTTTAGGTATGATTTTGGGACGAAAAAACTTCATGCACTAAATGTTGAAAACCACGAAACTTGAGGATAGTAAACTGAGATTTACCAATTAACTAAAGTTTTAGGGTGATTTTTGGTTAAAATAAATTTATCTCACGCTCTTTTCATCAAAGCTCTCTATTAAAAATTCTCTCAAATATATTACATCTTGCCCTTTTTCACTACAAGAAAACATGGATTTTTGAAGAATGGGTTTTGCCACCTATAAACTTCGTAACATATACTTATACATGGTGAATTTTTTGCGTAATAAGGGGTGTCACCCGTACATCGTCAACTATAGTTTCAATGGCATGGACTCTATGTAAAATCCCAATATTGCAAATATCTATTCGATCTCTTTGATTTTCGAGACTGCTTAATAATACGTACCATGGAAGAAAAACTGTTGCTATCTGATCCAGATCACTTGAAAATTTTGAAAACTAAAAACTCAGAAAACGAGAAAACATAGTATAAATTTCTCACTTCAAATTATTACTTTCAGATTTACTATTATATAATTTTATGTAAGTAACCAAATATTAAAATTTAGGGAGTTTTAACGAAACACTCCCAGTACTATTCACTTTTAACAAAAATGACATTTTTGCTCTAAAAAGTTACTCTTGGTACTATTCACTTACAACACATTTTTGTCTTTTTAATTAAAACTCAAAGTTTTCAAACCATTTTTATTAATTTTCCTTAAAATTTAATTTCGTAACAATGAACGAACTCGATTAATTGATGCTTTAGAATTTCATAAAAAGAATTCGGAGAAAATTTTATTCTTAAAAACGACAAAAAATTTATAAAAATCCTATTTTAAAAGAGTTTCTTGGCATTTCATTTTCTCAAAAGTTGCAGCAGCAGGATAAACATAAGAAACAAAATAGGTAAAGGTAATGTTGTCCTTTTACAAGTGCATGGCAGACCAAAAAGGCCAAAAATTATAAAAAAAGAAAAAAGAAAAAGAAGAATCAATCAACCAAGGAAGAAGAAACAAAAGGAAAGGGTGGGTCCCACTAGCCAGCAGAGAAGAAGTGGGGATGCTGCCCTCTTTTTATGGAAACAAATGACAACTTGCTCTTTCATGATGAAAACCAAACAAAAATGAATTTGTTAGTCATGTTCAAAAATAAAAAAATAAAAAAAATTAGTTAGTGGGCACTGTCGTCCATGTCAATGTGGTACACTAAAGAAAAAATAAGGGAAAAAGATAAGAAAACTTTTATTTCAATTATTAACATATGGGGCCTACTAATATATATCATGTGCCATAGTGATAAGTTTGGAAAAAGTTGCATGTGATATATGTTCACACTAAACAAATATATATTCTGAAAAGCTTTAAAAGTTAAAGGAGCTAATCGAATTCGAGGTAATTCGGTACAACAAAATTCTTAAAACTCTTAATCTATCTTGAAATTCAATGCTACCTAACATTTTTAATCTGAATAAAAAAATTTTATTTTTAATAACCACTGGCTACTACTGAAATTTTATAAAATAAAAACAAACTTGCTAGAATGATGCATAATTTTTATACAGGGTACGTTGCGGTGCGATCCTATAAATTATCACCCCCGTTGAAATTGACATTCTAAACCATTTTTTGATAAATTAACTTCCTGAACTATTTAAAATTAGTCACTTAACACCTTGATGTTAGATTGCCGAATCAATTATGTCAAATTGAAGGGTAAATTAGTCATTTCATTATCAATTGTTACTTATAAGCTATAATCACCGATAAAATTTTAACACATGGACACAACTATAATGAGAAAACATAAAAAAACGAAACACTTACATAATGGACCATCTTACATTGTCATTACACATTATTCTATTTTCAAATGTAATAAATTCACTGGTGATTATAATTAACAAGTAAGAATTGATGAAGGAAAGACTAATTTCCTTTGAATATGACAAAATAGTGGATGAAATCTACTAACCAGGAGTCAATTGGCTGATTTCAAATTGTTTAGGGGGTTAATTTACCAAAAAACAGTTCAAGGGGTCAATTTCAACTTGAGTAATAGTTCAAGGGGTCAATGACAGTTTACTCTTTTATACATAAGTGAGAGATCTTAAGTTGAATTTTTGTAAATAACAAATTAAATATTAAATTGTTAATAGCCTATTATAAGGATTAACCAATCAATTATATAAATATAAACTAGTGCAAACAAAGATGTTGTGTGAATATGGGATTTGGATCCATCCAAATTTAAATTATGGGGATCCTATAGATCATAACATCTAAACTGTTCATCGTACATCGTACTGTCATAAATCATTTTGATTTTTTTTATTTAAAATTAAACATAAATAGTATCTAAAGAAAATGATTGTACGATATATAATAAACAATTAGGATGTGAGGAACCTTATAATTCCTACAAAGAAATTCCGGAGAAAATCCTCATATGTGAATATGTGTTTTACAATAAACTTGAATTACATCAGTTGTCAGATTAATTTGGTTTCGAAGGGGGCGTGCCGCATGCATCTTCTTTTACAGATTTCCAGAGAGCTCACATTCACTTTGCAACCGACAACTAACATGTGTGCATCTTTACACTGTTTCAATGAGTGACTTTAAAATTTTATGAAATATTGTTAACAAATGCATTACAAGGATGTTATCAATAAATACTCAATCATTATAAAACTAACACTATTTTCGGAAACTAGCTCTGCCCTTACCATCTAAGCAGCTTCACTCGAAGCTTGTTTGCTACATAAATGAGGAACTAATGGACACAGAGAACCCATCGTAAGTCTTGCCCAACGGCTATGTCTACAGCTCTAAGGTTCGCTTGCATTTTGCAAGTTCTTAATGTTCTTGGCTATTTAGTCTTGAAATATTCTTCTTTAACATGTTTTGGCGGCAGGCTCTTGAAGAAACGGCAAGGAAGAATGATGGTGAGATTACTTGCCCAAGGACAGGCTTGATCTGCAGTTACACTGATCTGGTGAAGGCATATATATCGTTAATCTACATACCATGGCCTGTTCAGTCGTTCTGGTTTGTTATCTATTTATACGGGAATTTGTAGCTGTTATAACGTCCTGTGCTATCCGTACATAAATCCTCCCCTGCCATATTGAGTTCGGTTAATAAGAACTATGCCCTGGGATCGATGCTCTACTCTTACTCTTGTATTCCTCTTGGGCACTCGAAAGTTGAAACATGTATATAAGCGTAGATTACGTTTCACCCTTTATTTTCATGTTAAATTTCTTAATGGTGAATTGAATTATTTGGCATTCATTGAACTGAAAAGCAGGTCATTTCAAGATGAGTAATTTTACAGTTATCATAATTGCAACACTTCTAATAGAGATAAGATTAGCTAGTACAAGTGTGTCTCATTTTTATTAAAGAAGTGTTACATATATGATATACAAAATATGATAAGTGCAGGATTCTTGTTTCAAGATATACGATGGTAAGTCACATATTTATGAGATCACGTTAAGATGTTTAAACGATAAGTTGTTTTTACTTTTAAGTTTTAACTGCAAACTATACACAAGTGATAAATTATCGTGATGGTTAGTCTTCCTTTTTATATCACAGCATATCTACCTGAATAATTCCAAGTTTCTTAATATATTGGTCTTGTCTGAGACAAACAGTGAATATTGAATGTTACTTTCAAGCGAAGACTTGGAAAGACGTTGTCTACAGGTCCAAATTAAATAGCAATTTGCATATTACACATTGGTAGTTTTATTATTACTTTCTTTCCTGTCATTTTGGAGGTTAGTCAACTAGCAACAATCAACCGGCAAATAAGGATTGAAATCTTTATTTGCTTTTGATGCATCATGTATGATCTCATCCGATTATTGGAAGACTTGTTAATTAAGTTGATCTATTGGCAGTAAAACTAAAGGCTCATTTGGTAAATACATTTAAATGATCGAAATCGTTTTAATAGAAAATGTTTTTGAGTTTTAAAAGCGCTTGAAGTGTTTTCTGCTAAAGCACCTGTGACATCCCGTCCCAAAATTATCTAAAACGTACATGTGAAATGACCCTTTTACCCCTAGTTTGTTTTCGTTACATTATTGGTTATTTTTTTGGTGTTGATGGCATGTGTTGGGCCACACACACACCTTCCCACCACTCCACATTTTCTATCCCTTTCCCTGTCACTCTCTCCCGTGCTCCCATCTCCCTTCCCGTTCACCATAACGTACGGACACACACACAACTCACTCAAATCATCACAGATCGAGGGAACTAAACCCATATTCGAGCTCGTGAGGTTGAGAGGAGCACGATCGTACCATTTTCAAGTAAGAACTCTAATGTTTTCACGTCGTTTCGAAGTGGTCCGTTTGGGGTACTATTCATGCAAACTTATTTCACCACGTTTTTGGGATTTTGAAGCCCGTAATGACCTGGTGAGGTTCCCAGGAGTCCCGGAGTAACTCGTTGGAGGAATTTGGACGTCGGAATCGTCCTGTTCGAACTTGGCCGGTTTTGGAGGTTGGGGTCAGGTAAGATCTCGTGATTTTTAGCCTTTAAAACTTGTGTGATCGTGTTCTACTAGTCCTAAGCTTCAATTTGGTGTTAGAATCGTGAAAAATGGTTGAGAATCGAGTGAGAAAACACGAATTGCAGGTTTTTCCAGTTTCCGGCGCCGGCGACGTCGCCGGAGAAGGTGACGGAATATTCCGTCAAATCTGACGGAATATTCCTGACGCCGTTGACGGAATCCGTTAGAACTGGCGGAATATTCCTAACGGCGTCAGTTGACGTCGTCAGCGTGGCAGGCACGTGCCTGCGCGTGGCCGGCGCGTGGGGGCGCGTGCGGCGGTGGAAAATTTTTCTAAAAATATGGGTGTGATCCTGAGGTTGTGTAGAGCACATTGGTATATTCATTTGTCCAATTTGAGCAATGTATGAGAAGTTATTACGAGAAGTTGGTTATGTGCTTTAAAATTAACGTTTTTATAGTTATTTCGCATATAGGTGATACGTATCCCGAGGACGAGCGTGGTCATTCGAGGCAGGGGGGCTACGACCCTTCCACATACCAGTGAGTGGGCTTTTGGTTTTCCGTATATACCTATATACATTTATTTACCCAGAAATTGCTTGAAAAGGGTTAATTGTTTTATGCCATGCACCATATTATTATCGTTTATGCATCATTGCATACATTAGTAGTGGTATACATATACATATGCATATTGGGTGCTGTGGACGCACAGGTAAGTGCCAGGTAAGTGTTATTCATGTTTACATTTAGTAGTGATTCGAGATACTTAGAGAGCTCATAACCTGCACCCTCGGTGTTAGTGCTCCCGCCCAGAGTAGGGCACAGTCCTTCACGTGATGTTCACCTCCCGCACCACACACTCAGCTTGGATCCAAGTTAGGTGCACAGTCCTGTTGTACAGACCACTTTAGGTGGTTCCGACTCGTAGGTGACCAGCGATTATTCGCACAGCCTTCACATGATCGTAGCACTAGAGCGTATACATGTATTACACCCAGGCCTGTCATACAGACCACTTTAGGTGGTTCCGACTCGTGGGCAGGTTCAGTTATTGAGTTTGAGATTTGAGCTCTAGAAGCAGCCGTACATGTCACGTTAGGTGACTCCGGCTGCCAGATTACATGATATTGATATGATTATACCTGAGCACTTGCATATTATTGAGCATGATTGGCATATATACTATACGTATATTTATTTTCTGGGAAGTAAACAGGTTTTACGGCGAGGGGTTAGAATGTATTTTATTAAATGGTTTTCGAAAAGCTTTGTTTTTGCCCACTCACGCTTTTGTTTTGCGCCCCTCCAGGTTCTAGTTGAGTAGCAGTTTCGGTGGTTTCCCAGAGGGCTTTTCCGGCATTTCTGACAGACACCCATTAGCGTAGGGTCACCTTCGGGTGTACTATTGTCGCATCTTTTCTTTTGGACTGCTGTAGGCTTGCTCTGAACTTGTGTTTCACTTACGCTAGCACTTGTTTTAGTACTTTGTATGCTAGTTTTTAATTATTCGTACTTTTTATTTCTATTTTATTTAGCTTCCGCACGTGCACATGGCTACGTCACCTTCGCGTGGCGGCCAGCACGCCCTGATCTCGGTCGGGGTGTGTCAACACCTGTTATGAGCATTTTGCTAGAAACATTTCAAGTGCTTTTTCAGAATTAATTTACATTTTTACTAAATTTAGTTCCAAAAATATTTTATCTAAAAACGCTTTTAATCGTTTAAAAACATTTGCCCTAAAATTTGTTTTGGTTTGAGAGATTATTAAAAAATGATTTAGGGAAAAGACATAGAATTCTGGATCCATCCTTAAATTCAATACTACCTTATCCTCAAATTCAATGCTACTGAACGCTTTAAATCAAAGAAATAACCGCTAGCCACTAAAATTTATAAAAAGAAAAAACTTGCTAGAAGTGGTTTTAGACCTACTCCAACTTTTAGAGTTAAATTTACCCTAACTTATTCTAATTCATGTGCCAAAAATGAATTTTGAGTTAAAACTCATTTTTAGGACAAATTTTGGCTAGAAATTGAGATTGGGTTAGTGGGTTGGTCCACTAAGGCCATCTCCAACCGAAGGTTGGCCATATGGCTCGTTTTAGCTCTCTGGCATTCTAAGATATTAATATTTTAATGAACAGTACATGATCATATTTGCCTGTGTCTCCAACCGAGGGCCAAAGGGTCAGATGGCTCGTTTTAGCCCTGTCACAAAAAAATGTCTCCAACTGAGGGCCAAACATAATTTATTTAAAAACTACAACTTAAATGTTGTTTAAGTTTCATGTTGTTAAATGTTTTTTTATGTAGTATAATTTTTATGTTGGTTAATGTTATTTAATGTTGTTTCATATTGTTTAATGTTGTTTTATGTTACTTAATTTAATTTAATGTTGTATAATGGCTTAGGAAGTTATAGGGAAAAAATAGAATTAAAAAAAATATATGAAACAAATTTTGTGAAATAGAAGTTATAAGAAAAATGGAATTTAAAAAAAAAAATGAAGCAAATTTTGTAAAATAAAAGTTATAGGAAAAAAATAGAATTTAAAAACAAAATGAAAATTAGAAGTTATAGAAAAAATTTTGTAAATAAAAAAAATAATAAAACTGTAAAAAAAAAAAATTCAAAACATTCATGTCGGTTATAACAGATAGGATTTTCATTTTTTCTGGCTATCCCTTTGACCCTTTAAGATTTCGTGAAGCCCTCTCAAATTCCATAAACCCTCTGATCCTCTAAACCCTTCAATTAGAAATAGCCTAATAAGACTGAGTGTGCCCAAAAACTTAACTAGACTCAATGAGTGACGCACTCAAAAAACTTGGCTAGACGCAAGGAGTGACGTGCCCAAGGTCCCACACTTTCTCAAAACATACAGCCCTAGGTCCACCCACATGGGCATGTCAGCAGTAGTTATGAGGTTGTCAGCCGCCCATGTGCAATCCCAATTGCATTATTTTGATCCGACGACATAGATTATTGGACAGTTACCAACAGTCTTGATTTAAAAGTATTTAATTTTAAATTTATAAATACATTAAATTTAATGGGTGAGATCTAATATGATTAAATTTAAAAAAAAAAAAAATCTAACGATCTAAAATTAAACCAACAACGAAGTGCAACGCTTTTTTCGAGAAAATGGTCGGTTTAATGATTTTTCATTATATATTGAAATTTAAATATTTTTAAGTTAAAATGTTCATAAAAATTAAATTAAGATAGTTTACATAATTTTTATTTTTAAACTAGTTGTTTAATGGACATAATTTAGCCTAAATTCATTTCTTAATAACCTCGGGCTAAAAATTTAACCAGAAGGGTTGGATTAGAAAAAAAAATAAATTTTAGGTTAAAACCTAAATTTTCTGAGTTAAAAATTTAAGGTTTTAACCCAAAAATTAAAGATTTGCAAATAGAAAATTTAATACCAAATCATTACTAACTTATTATATTGTTTAACCAACCTATTTCTGTATTATAACTGTATTAAGAATCAGTTATATAAAATTTGGACTACTGCACAGATAGATGTTGTGTGAATATGCGTTGTACAATAAACTTGGATTACATCAGTTGTGACTATGATTAAGGTGTTGACTTTCTTCTCATACATTGGGTAATCAATTCTCAACAACACCAAGTCCATGTATATAATTTTTTTTTTTTTTTTTTTTTTTTGCTATCTAGTCATATAATTTATAATTAAAACTAACTTGCGATAATGAAATAGAAAATAAATAAAATTTGAAGTCAATGAATTATATAAACCGTGCAGAACTTCTCTACTTAAACGTCAATTGGGTTCTACAAATTTGAGATCTCAATTTTTGGTTTCAAAGGGAACTTGCAAATTTCCAGAGTTGTAGCTGCAAGATTCAGTTTCTGCCCAAAAAACGGAAAAAGATTTGAGCTATGGCTAACTCCGAAATAGCTTTAGACGTGGAGAAACCGAAAGAGAAAGTTACAAGGTTAGATGTTTTTTAAATCTCTGGAGTCTGACATGTGAATTGTATTCAGAAATCACAAGGGCTGAATAAACTTTGTATCTAAACATGTAATTATTCCCACAATGAAAAATCTAAATATCCAATAGGCCAATTTCACATGTTTAAGGATATTTAATTACATAAATGCTGCTATCTGATAGATACATTAATATATATACATTTCCTTGTGTTTTGTCCAGTAATAATCCTGATTCAAGTTCCAAGGACATGAAGGAAGAATCTGAAGACAACCATGAATGGAACATATTCTCAGGGAAGGCGGACGAGATTCCTAAAAAGGAGTCTTTCCTTAAAAAGTACTGGGAAAAGATATTTGTAGCATCATGTTTGTGTGGTGTTTTAGTGGATCCATTATTCCTCTACGTTCCAATAATCAAAGATGATGTAAAGTGCCTGTTTTTGGATCAGAAGTTGAAGATAGCCGCCGTTATTTTAAGATCAGTCACCGATCTTTTCTATATATTGGACGTTATATTTCGGATTTATGGATTTGAGAACTATTCGGGTTTTATCGAGCAACCAAGCAGGTTTCTACGTTCATTACTTACCCGGAGATCTTGTGTGCCAACGATATGGGACATCTTAATCGACATTTTAGCCATTCTCCCCCTTCCACAGGTAACTATGAGAATCCCCCTCCCCTCATGTTGGAGTTAATTGATTTCCTAATCTCTCTATTTGTTTACTTGCGGCGGGGTTTCCATGTTACCATCTTTTTTTCATTATTAAAGCATGAGAAATTATTTTCTCCATGTTAGGATATATAGCCAGTCATGCTTCTCTCAAAAACACTTTTATTTTAGATATAATTAGATGTAAGTCCATTTACTGACTAAAAAGTCATTATATTTTTAAACTTATGCTTTGTAATAAGACCCATAAATCATAACCGTTAAGGAACTAGGACAAACAAAAAATTAGAGTTCACTACCAAACCAAATGTACAAATCAGGTTAATTTACACAATAACTCTAGAAATTCAATATGCAAAACAAAAAAGGGTTTTTATCACAAATGGTCCCTGAAATTGACACTCACCATCAAGATAGTCCTTAAAATTGAAAATCAATCAATGTAGTATCTGAAAATAGGTGTCGTAAATCAACATGATCATTCCATCACAATTATGTTAAAAAAAAAAAAAAAAATCAGTTAAGTGCTGTTGTGGTACATAAATGAGCCCCATAAGTCCTTTTTTGTTTTTTTTCCCTCACAAATGGGATTTGAAATTAACTCATGACATCAAAATGGTCCCTCAAATTGACCCGCGACATCAAAATGGTCTCTGAAATTGAAAATTGATAAATGTAGCCCTTAAGTAGGTGTCTCAAATCAATGTAGTCATTCTGTCACAATTCTGTCAAAAATTCTGTTATGTGCTGATGTGACACATAAGTGAATGACACAAGTCTAATTAAATTAAAAAAAAAAAATTACAAATAGGCTTAATAATTTAATAGTTAATAAAAAAATTGTCAACCAAAAATCCGGTCCTGCAATCACCTCCGATCCTAGTTCACATTTACATACCGCTTTCACTCTCTGTTCTCTGAAGAAAAAAAAAATCTCAATACACTCATCTTTACACACTTCGACACCCTTTACCAAATTGAATTTGGATCGAGATCACATTTGGTGACTGCTTGGCCCATTGACAACGAATTTTGGGACATCATTGTTAACATTTAGGCGATCAACATCTTCACAACCTTAATTTTAGAGAGCTTGTTTGGCGCTTCCTTGGTGGTTTAGTGATGCAAAGAATGACGAGGTCTGCCTTGAGATAATGAGGTTATAACCGAGATGCGTCTATTGTTGGTTGAAAACTATTTCCACACCCCCTCTTAGGCCTTGGTTAAGCCTTGGTTAATCCTTGTACCTTTGAGAATTTATGGAAGGGAGCTATCTTCATAGTAGGTCCTACTATAAGAAAAAGAAAATTCCATTGTGCAAAAAGGTATTTAGACAACTTTTTAAATTAATTATTAAACCTATATCAGCACATAACAAATTTTTTTTTACAGAATTGTGGTGGAAGGATTATATTGATTTGTGACACCTATTTTCATTGACTGCATTGATTGATTTTCAATTTCAAGGACCATATTGATGGTGTGGGTCAATTTCAAGGATCATTTGTAATAAAAACCCTTAAATCTTGTGGGGCCCATTTATGTGCCACATCAGCACTTAATGAAAATTTAAACAGAATTGTGACGGAAGAACCACATTGATTTGCAACACCTATTTTCATGGACTACATTGATTGATTTTTAATTTCAAGGACCATCTTGATAGTGAGAGTCAATTTCATGGACCATTTGTGATAAAACCCAGTCCAATCTTTGAAATTTGGCATTTCTAACAAATCAAATCTTTAGCAAGTGGCCCTCTACCACAGTGGTGGAGAAAAGTGTCGCCCTTGCACCCGGCGTGGGTTCAAACCCGGTCGACTATCTAATATGACAAATCTATTGTTTGACAAAAAAAAAAAAAAAAAAATCAAATCTTCAAGTTAATTCCAAACGGTAACATTCCAAGTTGGAGCCTGAATTAAAGATGATGGGCATTCAAAAGAAGAGAAAGGTGAGAGAAACTGTTTCATAAGAGTGGCACTTGAGAGAAAAACTTATGTAGGGCTTAACTTGTCACTAGACACAACTACGTGGCACTACCATCTACTCAAAATTTGCCACTAGACACAGATCGTCTGTCAAAGACTCTAAGTAAAGAACGATTGAAGGAGAATCATAACTAACATAGATTCACATCATTCTCTTAGGACACATTTTGGTAGGTATAGACGGCGCAATCGACACATAGACCGCACAACCAAAGACGTGGATATGCGAGATGTCAGGCTCGTATCTAGGTATCAACTGAAGTGTAGAATAAGGTTGGATCGTGACTGGCCTTAAGCGGACCAACATTGTTGTGTGAATTATTGCGTAGTCCAAGGAAGCGATCTGGAACTTGGTACGTATCATCAACAATTGAGAGCGGCTAAGTTTTAGGACGGGGACCTCGATGCAAGCTCGTAGTTCATAGGCGAACCTCTTATGTCTGACGGATAAGGGTGTCTCGACATCCACGAACCAAGAACCCACGGATTCGAAATTGGAATTTCAAATCCTGGTGAGATTCAAAGGAATCTCGGCCACAGAGCTGTCGGAGATTACGGCAGGTCATCGGGGATGGCTGGACGTCACAAATAGGGGTTGAATCACGGTGGCTGGGATCGGCTTCAGGCGAGGCCTAAGCTGGTCCATCAACGACGTCATTTTGTGTCGTGCTTCTGGTTCTGGTTTTGGAACCCAATGACAAAAAGAGGGTACGCCAAAGAGAGAGAGCAGAGAGATTGTTGAATGCATTTACACAACCACAATTAAGAATATTCATAACACAACTTGGTATATATATGAAATTAAAACGGCTCAATATGCTTAATATCTTAATTATTGATTTACAAGTTTATTATTGATGATAATTAGATTTGAGTGTTTGTAATCAATGTACGTTATCCAGGTAGTAATTCTCATATTCTTTTCAAATATGAGGGACTTGAGATCTTTGACTACAAGGATGTTTATCATGAACCTTTTTACTCTGTTACAATATGTGCCACGGGTTCTTCGCATCTACCTCTCATGCAGTGAACTGAAAAAGATTCCTAAAGACGGGATTAAGCAGACTCCCATATGGATTAAAGCTATATTGAATTTCTCAATGTACATCATTGCCAGTCATGTAAGTCTCACTATATACTAAACTCCTAAAAGTTTTATTAACTGAACTCCTAAAAGTTTTATTAAAGTTTGCTTAAATAAATTAACATTTAGGTTCTTATTCATTCATTAATGGGATCTGCTTAAATGGGAAGATGAATCCCAGTTGGAAAACAGTTGTGAATTTGTCTGTTGTTTATTTTATATTGTTTGACCACTTTTCTAATACATGTGGATGTCACATACATAAGTGGAATCTACATACTTCTATCAAATAAGTGGTTAGCTAGTGTCACACAAATAATTTTTTTCATCCGATCTAGTAAACTTTATTAATACTACTTTTTTTAAGACCTGTAGACGTTATTTAATTTGTTACTTTAAGTGAAGTTGCATTTAATTTTTTTTGAATATATATATTTTTAAATCTTTTCTACAGTCTGATCTAATTAATTAACTTGTTGATTATTTAGGTATTCGGAGCCGTATGGTACTTTTTTGCTATTCAACGAATGATGGATTGTTGGCATTCTGCATGTCAAAAAGAAGGTGGATGTGAGAGAAGTAGTTTTGATTGTCATGACCATCACACATTTAGAAAGATCAAAATTCTAAATGATTTATGCCCTATAAATCCGTCAGACGCAAAAATGTTCGATCTTGGCATCTTTAGTAGTGTTCTTGAATCCGGCATAACAGGATCAACCAATTATTTTCAAAAGTTCTCAAACTGTTTCTGGTGGGGCTTACGAAATTTGAGGTTGGAACATTTTCTCTTGTTTGTTTAGGCATATATATAAAGCAGAACTGTGGCACCACAAAAAAAAAAAAAAACAAAAAACAAAAAAAAACAAAAAATAAAATACACAAGTTTTGACGAAAGTCTTAGATGTGGGGATGTGGTCTTAAGTATTAATTCTTTAGTGCTCATATGTTTTGCTTAATGAGCTCTTTTTGTAATGCAACTCATATGTTTCGTAATTCCAAGAGGATCTCCCTGAATTGCTTTTAATTACTATATATTACCATGTTTCTTTGTCTTCGGGAATTCCCATGCTAGAAAAATGGTTCTAGACTTTCTTACTTAGAATAAATTAAAAATTAGATTTATAACTTCATTTCATTTTTGCAGTTCCCTCGGTTCAAACCTTGAACCCAGTATAAATGGATGGGAAAACCTTTTTACGACTTCTATTTCTATAATTGGTTTGCTCCTGTTTTTATATCTCATTGGAAATTTGCAGGTTTGTGCCGAATCCTTAATGTTATAATTTTGTCTTTTTTCCTAATTACATGGATCGTTGGCTAGTTTTAAATTTTAATTAGGAAAGATAAATAACTAACTGTTAATTAATCACGTAAAACGCGAGCTGTGAAGTAATGAACTGACCACCTATGTGTTGGTTTGGCTGCTGTGGATAGATGTATATGCAATTTGAGAATGCAAAAAGAGAGGAGCGTAACCACAAGTTGCGAGTGACAGGAAAGATGGAACAGATTGGTCGAGAAATACAGTTGTGGTTATTTAAAAATGGCATTCCGACAAAGTCGCATAAGGAGATGAAGTCGCAGGTCAGTGAAAAGGTACAACAAGCAATAGAAGGGAACATGGATGTTAATTTGGATGATGTTATCCCCATTCTTCGCTCGGCGTTCCAAAGCCGTATAAAAAAATGTACGCCTTTGACTAAGCTCAAGCAAGTAAGTTTCCTCGATCCAAGCCTTGGCCTTAGTATAAGCTGTAGCATTGCCATACGTGACATGATTTATTCAAAGCATCTTTGATGGGAAATAAACTAGATCTCAAAATTATCTCTCTCATTGAAATATGACTAATATTATATTTTTCGAGAATGTAAATGTGATTTTTACATCTCAAATTTGCATATCTCCATTAAAGATGCTTTTGCAAAGTTTAGGGGCTGTTTTATAATCACATTTTATTTTTTTAGTTTTCATTGTTGTTTGGTACTCAATTTCCAAAAAAGTGAAAACTAAAAACCAAAACCAAGCCAAAATTTGAAAATTGCAAAAAATTAGTTAAGTTTGATCCACACCTATATAGGCTATATAATAATATTGATACAATCTTAATTATATAGCTAGCTCCATCTTATTTACATTTCTTACTATTAATAAGTAAAATCCCACTTCTTATTTACACCCACTGCACATTGAAATCTATCTTATGTACTAATCACAGGCGTTTAGAAGGCTGGATGAAAACGTGTTGAAAGAAATCTGTCAGCATCTTGAACAGAAAAAATTTCTGAAGAATCATATCATTATTGAAGGGGGTAAACCACTCGAAAAGATGGTCTTCATTGTGGATGGACTTGTAGACATTAGAAATTCAGATGGTTCTTGTAGTAATTCACAACGAGGTGCAGGAGAATTATGTGGACAAGATCTTCTTCTATATGGATCTCGGTCAAATGGGGAGTATGCTAAGGCGTTTAGTGATGTTGAAGCCCTTGTTATCATGGCTAAACACACGGAGGGTGTCCGCTCTAGATTTGGAGTGCAAATTGATGCTTATAAACGTTATTTTCATGATCACAAATCAGATATGAGCACAGGTCAAAAAGTAAAGCGGAAGCGAACTCATGACATTTAGTTAGTCCTCTAATATAGATTAGCCAATCATGTTAGTGCTATGTGTATGTAATCTGTTAGTTTGTTGTATTCGGTTTGAGTCATGTTAGTGCTATACTAGGCAATGCTGCCCGTGCGTTGCTGCAAGATTAAAAATTGTGTTGATCACTATGCCTGAAAAACGCAGAGATAGTTGAAGAAAACAATAAGATAAATTTAGATATACAAAACACTGTAATCATTCACTGCGGTTCATTATCTTCACCCAATTTTCAACTGGGACCATCATTTGTACACAAAAGATTTGAAAATACTAGACTAAGTACATGCATAAAATATTGGTCAACCTAGATTATACAATTTTTGCCAGCATTTAGACAGAGAGCATTAGAAAATGCTGGCCTATGTACATGCAAAAAATATTATTCAACCTAGATAACAGATCAGGACCAGCATTTAGATACAAAATATGAGAATTGCTAGGCTAGTACATGCAAAAAATATTGTCTAACCTAGATTAGAGAGAGTTATTTACATACCAAAAAAATAAGAGAAACATTGTTCGATACATGTAGATTAGAGGTGCGAAAATAACATCTGTTCAAAAGGAAGATTCAACGTTCTTTGTGCAGCAGAATGGACAGGAGAAAGTTGATAATGATCTAAAATAAACAATATAAGCAAGAGTTGTTTAAGTAAGAACATATTTACTCACTTAATATAAAAAATTCATAAACTATTCGATAATATTTAATCCAGCAATCCCTAAAGATGAGAAATGAATGTTGAAATCCAGCAATCTCCAAAGATGAGAAATGAACGAAGAAATCCTACCTCATACATATTAAAACAATTAACAAATTCTCAGTAAATGATCACAAAAGAGGTATTAAAAAGAAAATTTCTTAATTTAAAAATTGAGAAAGATATAAAGAAAAAAGTTCTCAGTTCTAAATCATCACCATAACAAAAATAATGATATCGTTTTAACATTAACTTGGATTGATTTCGGTCACCAGCATTAATAAAATTAGTGACTTCAACCTGTGCAAGCAAACAATCAAATTAGATGCAAGCCAACCAACTTCAAATTTAACCAAATAAAAAAAATAATTACAATTAAACTAACCTCTTCTTCCCATATGAACTAGTAGTAGTTCCCTGTTTTGCCTTTGTGAACAGTACATTCTTCACTCTACACAAAAAATGCTATCAAAATGCTCAGCAACATTATGAAAACTATACACACACGGTATTGTATATGTATTTGGATATAAGGTATAAAAATTTACTAAAATAATCAAGCTTAAATTTAACAAAAGAAGTAATTGCGAATTGGAATAAAAAACAATATAATAGTTGTTAATAAAAATTCTGACTAAATTTTACAAGTAGCATCATAAATTGTTAAAAAATTAACACCATTGAAAAAACTCATCACTCAAATCTGTTATTCTATTAAAAACACCACTGAAAACCCCAAGGAAAGGGGTGCATATTCCTAACCTGCCAAACAATTGTTATAGTCATACCGAAGCAAGGAAAGGGGTACATATTCCTAACCTACCAAAAGGGTTAATAAATTTACCTTTTTTTGTAACAGCTTATATTCTTTTATCTATATCTTGAGCTGGACCCGCTGATCCACAACAAAAAAAGGTGTAAATACACCAATGAAACAACTTTTAACAGCAAGACTAAGAATAAAATTATTGTATTTTAACATCTCACATGCAATATGAAAATCATACACAATTTTTGTATGATTAACTACAACCAATTACTATTTCTTAATTGTGAATCCACTAACTCCAAAAGTTAAATAAAAACTCAACACAATTAAACCCACATTCCAATTCAACCAAAATTCAACAAATTCACCCCAAATTAGATCAACAGAAAGAGAAACATGGGAAACCCAAAATTAAATGCAATAGGAGGGAGGAAGAGAGAGAGAGAGAGAGAGAGAGAGAGAGAGAGGGGTTACAATGAGCTTCTGTTCTGAATTTTTGAATGACTTCCCAATCTAATTAGATGTTAAAACTATAGTAGTAATTAGTGCGGGAAAAACTTTTCTCATGAGTGGATTATAAATTTCTTATGAGTCATAATTATTAGTTAACCCCAAACTAAGTGAGATAGCGTACAGATAGAAAGACACATCATTGACATTAACTTATTTTTATTTATTGATGAATATAAACTGAATTTTCCAGTGAAAAAATTTGATTGAGAAAAAGAACAAAGTAAAATAATTAAGTAACAATACCTAAAGCCCGATCAACATTCAAGTAAAAAGTGAGAGAGAAAGAACCAACCTTAAAAGTCCTCATGAAATTCTGTAACTTCCTACAGTACCTTCGTAATCGTATCACCCATAAAACTACTGAAATAAAACGAACAATTGTGAAGTCAAAATATATATACAATATTACAATCTGATATTCTTGCACTAGAGTGTAGAAGATATAAGCCTACTGTGAAACGAAAAAATTGTAATCTACAAACATAAAGGTGCAATTGTATGCCATTAAAAAGTGCAATCAAGGCATATATTCTCATTCAGCTCGATTTTATGTATCAACATGTGGATTGGGTCAAAATCAAAATCCAAAACCCATTAATAAAATCCAATATTTTACTTCAACACAATCATAGATTAAGATTAAAACATTATTACCTACTAAGAAATCCCAATAATCAGATCCTTCTTTTCACTTGGAAGAGTCGATTGGAGCCAATTGGGGTCAAGTTCTCCTTGTTAAAATTCCAAGTTGAAAGCATTTATAAAAGACATACAAAATATTACAATCCAAAGAGAAAAAAATGGTAAGAATAAAAAAAGAGGAGCGTGCGTACAGAGGAGAGAAGCAATGAGCATGGACAATCTTTGCCATATTTCAATGAAATGGAAAATGATATCATAGACGGTAACTCCATGAGTATTTTAATCCTAAGATTTTAATTGATTTCAAGTAGTATACGTCCAAGAGTTTACTGGATTTTGAGTTATATATTGAGCTCTATTGATTCCTCTTGCCATCCAAGGATGTGAGTTCATTGGGGAAACCACATGGATCATTCCCACAGATTAATGTCCCACTTTTGACTTTACCTCACTTCATTCTTCTTCTTTGTCTGGTCTGATAATTGAGACAAAAACAGAGAGCTCTCATTCTCTCATCCATATTGGAAATAAGAGAAAATTTGAAATTCTCTCCATACTTCACTGAATTTGGTCTCGTTTTTCGTCTGCAAATTCATGGGGAAGAGTTTCACTGAATTTGGTCTCGTTTTTCGTCTGCAAATTCATGGGGAAGAGTACCATGCACGAAGATAAATTAATCTTGGTTTTGGTCCAGTTTTAAATTATGCTCAATTTCAAAATAAGACGGCCCAATTTCGAAAAAGAAAGATGTTTTAGCCTTTAGAAATCTGAAAGCCTCCAACAAATTGGGTGTCCACACCGACATTTATCAATTTACACATATATTTGAATTTCGAATCATTTAGGTTTCAAAATAATTGCACAAAAATCCGGAAAATGATGAACAAATTGAAGCAAATTATGTGTATTGGGCAATTGAGACTAATCCAAAACTGGTACCGAGCTCTGCTGCAGGGTATAGTGGGTCTTCATCAAAATCAAATGCAAGTCCCGATTGCCAAATTTCTGAAATAACATATGACTATAGAGACTGAGCGGAAGAGAGAAAAAGAGAGGATCCATTTCTTGAATTGCTAATCAAATCAACACACATATTTTGATTGATATGAAATCATTAAAGACTGGAATCATACATGATATTTTAATGGATATGGAAAGCATAGTTCCTCGAAAAACTGGAATCATACATACATGTCAAACTCGGAGTAATTTGGTTCAAGATGTGAGAGACCATTCATTTCTGTGAAACCATCAGAAGTCTTACTCACCTGCCTCTGAATCTCTTCCACTCCTCCATCATCTGTATAAATGAAACAATCAAAACTCAAGTGACATTCTTGCAGGAACTCAAATTCAAAACAAAAAAAATTAAGTCTCATAAAAAAAAAATATAAAGCCATCCTATTTTTCCGCCACGTAAACAACAATCACAGATGTAAATGTGAACCCAGATAAAAATTATTCAATTAAGATAAAATTCACAAATAGGTCCTCCAGAATCAGAAAGAACGAAGAAATTAAAATTACCCAAAACATTATAAACAAACATCGTACGCAAAAATAAAAATTACTCAAAAATTTGTAAACAAACATCATAACCCACAACCAGTTTGTTGAGATCAAGAACAAAATATACAAGAGCAACACTGTAAAGACTCAAAGTAATACTGCAAATAACTCAAACAATCTGGAGGAATGACTTATTTATTAAAAGAAGAGTTTGGCTATTATATAGCCTTACAGAAGTAACAAAAACCCTAAAAACCAGTTCACGATCCACACTACTCGGAAGGTGACATGCATGAGGAAATATTCTACGTAGAACAAGTCTTCCTAGATAATAGGAACTTATTTAAAACCAAAACAAACTAAATGGTTGAGTCCTATAACTACGGGAACAACCAGACTTATCAATCCCTCCCTTAAACTTACTGTTATCAAACAGTTAGTTTATACCAGCAATCTATCAAACTCCTAGCATACCTCGAAGTCTCTGAAAAACATCAACCATCAATGGTTTGGTCATTATGTCTGCCACCTGATCTTCGCTCCCACAATGAATCAAAGCAATCGAACCTTTCTTTGTGAGATTCCTCAAGAAGTGATATCTTACATCAATATGCTTACTGCGACCATGCATCACAGGATTCTTTGACAGCTTAATGGTTGAACTGTTATCACATCTGATTAACGTACACTTCTCATTACTGTACTCAAGCTCTTTCAGCACTCTCTTCATCCATATTGCTTGACACGCACACACTGCAGCTGCTACAAACTCAGCTTTTGTAGTGGACAGTGTAACAATAGGTTGTTTTTTTTGAACTCCATGTCACAGCACCCGAGCTCAGTAAGAACACATAACCACTTGTGCTCTTCCTATCCTCCACATCTCCTGCATAGTCACTATCTGTGAAAGCAAGCAATCCACCATCTCCGCCTTTCTTATAATGAATACCATAATTCATTGTCCCTTTTAAGTATCGAAACGCTCTCTTTGCAGCTTGCAGGTGAAGCTCGGTTGGTTTTGCCATAAATCTGCTTAAAAGACTGGTGACAAACATCATGTCTGGTCTTGTGGCAGTGA